TGGTGTTTTGGATCCACGGGACTCTAAAGCCCCTCTTAGGGTGCACTATTTTATCCTGATCAAATGTTCCTGTGGAAATTGCTTCATGGGATCAACCTTAGTATACCAGTTCCACTTATCCAGGTACTTGCAAGCCTCGGGAGAATAGTGTGTGTACATAAAGTACGCCAGAGTCCCCTTAGGGGGGACTGGAACTTGTTTTGACTGACCTGTTCCCATTTTTAGTCACACGGGGAGAGGTAGGATAGGCTTATTTAGGATGTCCGGGCCGCTCGGTGCCTTGCCCCGCGGTATTTTCACCGCCCAGACAAAAGGCTTCTGACCTGACACCGGCTCATAAAATGGAAATGGGGAGGGAAACACAAAAGGGATCCTTTCACTTCTGTTTTGGCAGAAGCTACTGGGACAAAGGGTTTGGAAAAGACAAACTCACTCTGAAAACCTGTCCACTGGGTCGTGAGGTTCCAGTTGGGCCCCCTTGCTTTCAAAACTGCCCTGTCAGGCAGAATTGTGGCGGCTGAACCCAACTGTAGTCCCAGACCTGGTCAGTGGCTCATATTTCTAAATACACACACACACGCATCCATTCAGTCTGCCAGACCCCCTCCCACATTGCCTCAGTTAACTAACTGCGAGCCTAATGTGCTGTTGAATGGAGGTGATTCAGACAGATTCTCCCTGAACAGAACGTACGTTACCAGACAGGATTACTAGACAGAAAAATTTAGCCGGCAGTAAGGTTCTAAACTGACCTGTTTTAACAAGGTTCAGATCCAGTTACCACGGCCAAGTTGGGAGCCTACGGGCAGCCCTCCTCTGAAACCCCAATAGAGATTCTGAATTAGGTCTCTTACCTCTCAAGTTTGGCACCTCGGGGTTCGGGGGGGGGGCAGTCCACGGTCCTCCTCCTTCAACATGTATTTTGGATCCGAGTCACGGCACCAGGAATTGTCGTGGAAACACACACAGCATACTTTTGGGTCAGGTCAGCAGAAGCTTTTATTCAAATGAAACTACAGCTGTAGGGGGGACTCCAAAGTGACATGGATTTCTCAAGCACTTGGAAGGGGTTCCCCTCCAAGAGCAAAATCAGGAGGCTTATATACTTTTTAACAGTTGCTTACAACTCATGTGATCATATAGTGGAATTTGCTAGAAAAAAGCAGCTACAAACACTACCTCATTACTTCTTGGCTGTTATCAGAATGGGAACCATGGGGTAAACGAGGTTAGTTCACAAAGTGAGAAATAGGGGAAAACACTCCCTTCTTGCACCTGGAAATCAGAGTTGTAAATACTTTTTCTCTACTATCTTCAAGGCCGCGGTGAGCGAAGCAGTTGCAGAGGAGTTACAAAGAACAAACACTTTCACTTATCTGTTCATACAGAGCCAGCAATTCCCCACAAAGCGGTTATGTCATCTTATAACTCGTATGATCAAAGTTTAAGGCATTTATTTTTTTCTGATTCCACAAAAGGAAATATTGGTGCTGGAGTATTCAAGAGATAGTCTAATGGAGGTGATGATGATTGAATCTGTGATGGAAATCGATTAGAGACTCTGGGTTTTCTGTCCAAGTGATGAAGTGTCATCTGTATAGCATGGTTTTGATGGTGCAGTTCTTGTGGACAGCAATGCTGCTGTTCTTCCAAGGGTCCATAAAAAGGTTGGCATATTGTGGGGCCATTCTGGTGCCCATAGCTTTCCCCATGGTCTAGAGGAAGTGTTGGTTATCGAAAGCGACAAAACTCTGTCTTTGGGTGACAAGAGGTTTTAGGATGAATTCCTAAAAAGAGGTTTTAGAACGGATGAAACCTGATCTTTCCTCAGTTAGGGTTCCATGGTTGGATGTTATAGGTCTGCCTGCGTTTCCTTGTTTGTGGGGCTTAGAGAGCATGTAAAAAGTCTCTGGACTGAGGTGGGGTGGTAGGGATCAAGTTTTGTAGTTTGTCTTGCAGTTCAGATGGAAATGATGTGATGGTGGTTGTGGCAGTGCAACTGACTCAGCCTGCTACTTTAAGGGCTGAGTCAGGCAGCCAGAAGGTTCAAACACATTTTAAAACACAGGCCAGCTGTATTAGCACAGCATTTTGCTGCTGGCAGTGTGGCACAGAGATCACTTGGCTGAACTCTTGTATGAAACATCTGGCAGGTAAGAGCAGGAGGCTCCTGGTCCTGGGCATGACCTAAAACTGCACCCTGCTGAGGAAGGGTGGTGTGGTGGGGCTTCCTGTGGCGAGGGAGTCCCAAAGAAATGCCAGGCCAGTTACCTCCCTGGTGAAAGACAGGGAAGGGCACCTTTATAACCTTATATGAAACTGGATGCCTTTATGTCCTCTATTTTTCTCTTGAAGAGAAAAATAGGACATAAAGGCGCCTGGTTTTGTATCAATAGAGGACAGAGTAGCAGAAAACCAGAATGTACTCTATGATGGCCACCCTGGAGGGGCATGGAGCCTAATGAGAGGCAAGAAGCCCAGAGGCTAGGAGCTTTGATGGTGTGGGGCAAGGAGTCCCAGAACGAGTGAGGGGCACTGAGCCCATTGAGTGTGGCCAAAGTTAGGGGCTGGAAGTATGATAACATCTTGGATGCTATCTGTGAGACATGGGCCACTGTGTAGGGGAAGTTCAGAAGAGTGGATAGCGCCCCCTGACATTGGGGCATGTAATGGGTAGTCTCCTGCATTTTCCACCAGTTATGGGAACAGCAAAGTCATGGCAGGAAAGACTGGGCAGACTGCCCCATAGAGACAGGTGTGTGGGCCGATTTCAGGCTCGGCCCTGAGCTTGCCCCCTGTCACAGTGGTTTTGAGTTTTAAGGTGAAATAGGTGGTTGGGTCTTCCTCTAGTGTTTCATAGTAAGTGGTGTCAGAGAGCTGTCTGTTGGATTCTTTTATGTAGTCTACACAGTTAAAGATAACTATTGCTCCTCCTTTATTATTATTTGGTGGTTGGATCTTAGAGATTCTATGGCCCTTCTCTCTGAAAGGGAGAGGTTGTTAGGGTGGTGTTTGTTGTTGATTATTTCATTGTTCATTCTTTCATTGAAGCAGTTAATATAGTGGTTGAAGCTTGAATTTCATCCACTGTGAGGTATCCAGTCTGATGTTTTTTTTGAATTTTTTGGTGTTAATTTTTTCCTTGACGTTGTCACAGGATGAAGTGTTGTAGAAAGTGGATTTGTTTTGGTTGTGGAAAGATTCCTTGAGACAGAGGTGTTGAAAAATTCTTCTAGTTCTCCACATTTTAGTATCTTATTACAGTATTTTTCCAGGTAGAAATTAAAGCCTTTATAGAGGACAGATTTTTTCAGCTTTGGTAAGTGTGTACGTGGAGAGATTGATAGTATTTGAAGGTTTATTGGTTTCTTCAGTTAAATCAGGTATGAGGTGGAAATATTGTACGGTATTGGTCTTGTGTCTCTGCTGGTTGTTTAGTGACTGGGGAAGTTGTTCCTGTAGCAATTATTTCCATTTCTTCTTTTTATGTAGGATGAATGTTGTAAAAAATCTTAGTCTATTTGTATACATTGTATATGGTTTGGGAAGATGTTTTAAATAAAATTATCTTAATTTTTTTCATAGGACAGACCATTCCAGAGAGGAGAGGGTTGGATGCAGTAAATCTAGAGCCATTTCGGTATGAAGTGGGGACCATTCCAGCAGAATGGGAAGGTAATTTTTTGTATTTTTTCTTTTAATGTAACTTTCACAATACAAAATGTTGAAGAGAAATTAAATGGATTAACTGACTACATGTTTGCCTTGTCTTTCTTCGGATGTTTTCATTTTAAGGAATAAAGATTTATTTAACCAGATACAGTTATATGGAATTTAAAATATAGCTTGCATGACCATGACTGATTTTCCCTGATCAAATGCAAAAATGTTTGAGTGAGTGAGGGATCTGATCAAGTGATCCTGGAAAGAAAGTATGTGGTCGGTATGTCTTCGCTGAAGAGTTAACTTGTGTGATCAATATCTTAACCTAATTTAGATGTGAACCGGCATACTTGTGTTTACTGGTATAAAGCTGAGTGCAAGTTTTAAGACGGGGTCAACAGCTTTTTCTGGTGAGGGGGCCAAAATGACCCAATGTGCATCAGAGGTAGGCAGGCACTAGGATCCAGCCATTGTTGCCACTTCTCCCCATCACTCAGCAACAGCATGGTAAGTCGAAAGCCCTCTTCTGCCAGATCCCATGTTGCTGAGTGGCAAAGCATGAAAAGAAATCCCCCTCAGCCAGAGCCCCAGGCAGCTGACTGGCACAACGCAGGGGGAGCCCCCTGCCACCAAATGCTGCTGAAGCCATGGCTCTGCAGGCTGGATTCAAAAGCTCTGTGGGCCACAGGTTGCTGACCCTTGTTTTAAGATGTATGGGACAGTCCATGGGTCTTTGTGCTGCAGTAAATTGACTCATTCTGATTGTTTACCAATGAATTGTCTGCCCTTCTGAGCACACAGAGATTATTCTGGTGATATCCCAGAAGTCTGTGGGATAGCCTGTGTCTCTGTTACCATTCTGACCAGAAACAGCATTCTGAATTTACCCTGTAACTCGGGATTCACAAACTAGCTCAGGTGGAAACTACTACCAAATACATCACAGGTTTCTGCATACTGACAGAAATCAAACTAAGGGTGACACTTGAATAAGACTCAGTTGGCTCTGCAGAACTTCCTTGTAGGTATGGTTACACAGCAAGATTTCTTTTAGGCTAAGGATAGGCAGTTAGTTCTAATGTAGACCAACCTGAGATAAAAACCGAGTGTACGTGTGGTTAGCTTGCCTCTCAGAGCAAAACTCACCTGCCATGCTAAATCTGGATCATGGGGCTCCTCCGTGGCAGGATCCAGACTGTAAGGAGCCTCTTGGGCTCAAATCCAGACTTAGCAACAGGATGAGCAGTGGTAGAGGGCTTAATACAGCTGTTGCTCAGCCTTCCACTCCCCGCAGCTGCAGACATGCATTCCCACTGGGTCTCTGTAGCAGGGAGATTGGCAGCAGACCATGCTTCCAAATTCCCAGCTCCTCTAGGAGCCCCATGGGCTGGGTGAAACAACGCTGCAGGCGAGATCTGGCCCACAAGTATTCTTGATGCCCCTGGTTTATAGCATAAGTTCATCTTTGAGGATGGCTCTCATGCACTCTCTGCAGTGAGAAAGCAGCTGAAGTCTAGGGAGTGAAGTTTTTCAAAGTTTGTACCAATTATTGAGAGAAACATATCAAAGTTAGAATTACAGGTTTACTTAGCATAAGTGCATATTTCCATGTATACTTCTCTGTTTATTATTCTTATCACACTAGGAGCTTGCTAGAGTTAGACTGTTGTTAGAATTAATGCATTGTTCCAGACAGCCTGGATTATAGATTCCAGTGGCTGATTTGAAATGTCTTTGTAATGATAGTACTTGACCTCCTTGTGCTCAGTTTGTGGCATGCTATCCAGGGAATGGAAGACACAGTTTTATTTTTGCAGGCTTTGGTATGTAGTTTAAGATCCTGTTAACGTTTGTCCATGTTTTTCCCACTCCTGACATATGATGGTTAAGATTTCCTGAAAATTGAGACAGCATGCTTGAGAATGCCTGAGTAGAAGACAACTGCAGTAATTGCCCCTGTGGCTTATGAGCTCTCTCCAATCCTTGCTATGCTGTTTAGTCAGCAGGGGATGTCAAATCTTCTTCTGTATGGATAGCTGGGATTCTACCGGTATTCTGGGACAGTTGTTCCCTGCTCTTGGCAGGGGTGTCCAGCAGACTAACGTTATTTTGCTCTTCCCCAGCCTACAATCAATTCTGGTAACAGACACTTACTTACCTGACTGCTCTCAGCTTTGCCATCAGTCTCCAAACCTTTTTCTTTTTTTTAATTAAACATTAAATTCTTATGGTGTGTCTGTGAGTTGGCAACATACCTATCTACAATTTCTGGACAGGCCACTGATGAAGACTAGGCAAAGATAAATCAGCAGGATAAAAGTATAAATTTGTGGCATTATTAGAATGCAGAATATAATAGACATTTTTTTTCCATCAACAAATCCTAATATTCTTCCATTCCATAGGTATGACCTTCCACTTCCCAGGGCCACGGTGTAAACCTCCATATTACTTGCCTTTAAACTTCCCCTGCCACAGCACTAGCAGCTGACTTTCCATGGTAGCCTGGTTAGTCACAAACCTGCAGCATTGTGGCTTCTAGCTAGAACCATAGGGTTGGAAGGGAGTTCACAGATCTTCTTGTCCTGCACAAATGCTGGATGTGCTATTCCTAACTCACTCTTGTCAGATGCTTATTCAGCCTCTTGAAAACTTCCACTGAAGGAGAATTCCACAACTTCCCTGGGCAGCTTGTTCTGTTGTCCGTTTTTTCTGACAGTAAAAGAAATGATCCCTCAGATTTAATCTAAATCTGTTTTGTTACATTTTAAACCTATTGCTTTGTGTCCTGCCCTCTGCAGTGAGGAGAGTAATCATTCATCATTATGCCAGCTTTTCAAATATCTCATAAGGTGTGGCATATCCTGCTTTAACTTCCTTTTCTCCAAACTAAGTGCATCTGGTTCTCTTAACCTCTCCTCATATAACTTGTCACTTACCTCTGGATCCTCTTCAAGTTTCTCCACATCCTTGTTTAAAGTACAGTGCATAGAATGCTCTAGGTGAGGCCTAACCAGCGCTGAGTAGATCAGTACGGTCACCTGCTATACTATTTTTAATGTAGTTCAATATTGCATTTGCCCTTTTTGCTGCTGCATCATATTGCTGACTCATATTAAGTCTGTGGTCCACCAGACCTCCAGATCCTTCTCAGCCACATTGCTGCCTAGCTAGTTATGTTTATTTTGTATTTGTAAAACCATGGTGAGGTTTTAATTCAAAAGGATCTAGGTAGATTGGAGAACTGAGCTAGAGACAATAAAATAAAATGCAGCAAATGAAATCTAATATGCTATACCTGGAGAAGAAAGAATTAAAACCTCTCCTGATTTTTTCAATTTGATTTATAAATTTGATCAGGAAGCCCCAATCAGTCATATCAACCTGTTTTTATATGGCCTCCTTTATTTATGTATCCTGGTGCTGAAGGTGTAAGGCAAGTTTGTCACATAGCTCCATGAAGCTCTGCATGATCCGGAACCCATCTTTCTGTACTATTTGGGCTTTAACCTGGGTCTGACATCATTTAACATCTTCATTAATGATTTGGGATTAAATGCATGCTTAGCAGATCTGCAAATTACACCAAATTGGGTAGAGTTGCACACACTTCGGAAGGTAGGAATAGGTGTCAGAATGACCTGGACAAACTGGAGAAGTAGTCCTCAGTTAAGCAGATGAGATTCAGCAAGGACAAGTGCAAAGTCCTGCACTTGGGATTAAATAATTGCATGCACAAATACAGACTGGAGAATGACTGGTTAACCTAAAATACTGCAGAGAAGGATCTGGGGGTTATTCTAGACCATAAGCTAAGTATGAGCCAACAGCATGCTGGATTGTATTAACAGGAGTGTCTTGCAAATAAAGGAAGTGATTCTTCCACTCTTATTTGGTACTGGTAATACCTCACCTGTACCTGATAACAGGCTTCAAATGCCTGAAGAGGGTGGAGATGGGCTTTCCTCTGTGGCTGTAGGGGACAGGATTTAGGAGCAATAGTCTCAAACTTCAGCAGAGGAAGTTTAGGTTGGAGGTGAGGAAGTCGAGTCTGACCATGAGGGTTGTTGAGCATCAGAACAAGCTACCTAGCGAAGTTGTGGAATCTTTATCTCTGGAAGTTTTCAAGAGGACAGCCAGACACTTGGCTGGGATGATTTAGCCAGGGCCGATTCTTCCTTTAGCATTTAGTAGGACTGGATTAGATGACCTTGTGAAATTCTTTCCATCCCTACTTTCCTATGATACTCTATAGGAAATCTGCAGTGACTGTGGCACATAACAAATGATTCTGCTCTGCTGTGAACGAGCTCCCATCTGCAATCTGCTGCCACCTTCCATTGGCTTGAACTGCTGCTGAAATACTCCCATCCTCTCCAATAACCACTCTCTGCAGTCACAAGCGGGAATAGCTCATTCAGCTGCACTGGATCCATGACTTCACTCAAGCTGGAATGGGCAGAAGTGAGGAGCATGCAGAGCCAGATGTGCTTCAGCTAAATGTGTTTGCAGGTTAATAGCATTCCCACACAAGGAAATGAGACAGGTTTGCCTACAGCGTGCTATGGAGTGCTTTAAGTTAGTGATATATTAAGAACCCTAGGATATATCCCCAGAAATTCTACTGCCAACAACTGTAACTACAATGCCAGTACGGACACAGGTATGTGTCTCGGACGGCCAGGGCCGACTCGAGTTACGTTCGTACGTTAGGGCGGGCTGGTGAATGGAGAAGCAGACACAACTTATTGGTTGTAAAAAACTTTACTCATGCCGCTTGCAATCGCGACGCAGGTGGTCCGGTCGTCGGAACAACCACACGAGTTGTTCCAGCTGGCGGGGCCCAAGCCAGTTAATCCGTCCTCAATTCGAAGCCGGCGGGGAATGGGGTACGTCGGGGTTGCGCTCGGTGACGGGAAGAAAGATCGATAGGTGATCAGTCTATCTATCGGCAGCCGCAAGTCAGATAACTTCAGAGGCACTCTGCAGCGTGCTCAAAGCTCTTCAACTTG